CTAGCCGCACCTTAGAAACACAAGTTCTGCAAAGAGGTGGGGCGTTTCGACGCCAAAAATACATCGCACTGTCCCGACGGCCACCGTGTACTGTAAGGTCGCCGGCAGGGGGAGGGGGTGGCGCGTCAATTGTGATATCCATTCATCCGTGATAATTTTTCACTCTCGCTGTCCCCCATCACGAGCTGATCATTTCGGCGCTCTTCATAAGACAATTACGTTTCAGACTATGTCCCGATCGCTCAGTCTGGCCGGTGTGCCGGACTTCAGAGGATCGGCCTCAGCGGCTCGTTACCGCAAGTCGTCCATCACCGAGCCAGTTCGTCGTCCATCCATATCAGCTACTGGCCAACTTGAAAGTAAGTTTCTTATTCCAGTTCATTTCATATTTCTTCTTGGTTATTGTTTCTTTGATCTTTTATCTAATTGATTTGTTCGCTGATTTTCCACGATTTCACTTTCCTGGTCTGGAATCCTTACCCTGCCTGTGACATTTTGAAAAGGGATTAGAGGATGGAGAAGGACATATTGTGTCGTTTGGGAGGCTAGGACAGGATAGGATGAGGATTAGGATAGGTGTGGGAACAGGATCTGAACGTAGTGTTGAAAGGGCTCACAAAGAAGCACTGAAAACTTAGTCCGAGAAGTCCTCTAGCCGTTAGGCTCACAGTCAACCCTAAGAATTCCTACCACTATTGTATGAGTTAGACTGAGAAACCCCGAAAGGGTTTTCTTCCCAACTGTTACTCTACGGAATGGGACTATAGGCGGATGAACCACACGACTCTGTCCTTCTCCATCTATCCCTTTTCGAGATGCGCCATGCATTCTACTTCTATTCGAGATCTTACTGACAGAGTGCCATTTTGTCTATGCAGTAATTTGCAAGAGCCAGCCTATGCCCTAGTCCGCACATTTGTCCTCATAGATGAATCTGGTGCCGACACGAAATAGAGGGTTTCATTGGCTTAGAGGGTGCCGATATTTGATCCTTCCGCGCTTCTTAGACGGCGCCACTTGCCACTATTCCCTAGTAGTTTGACTCTGTGAGTGTATGAATAGTCAGTTTCAGACAGAACTGTTTCCAAGTGACAGCTATTCCACATTGTCCCGAAACTTATGGTAGGGGCCGTATTTGGGTCGATCCTGAGTAAGCATGGAAACAGCGTTATTTCACGGTAAACGCACATTGCAGATTAAAACTAGAGGGTTTTGGGGTCAAATTAAAACTCGGGGATGTTACCTAACTTACCGGTGAGGAAAAAAGTGACGAAACCGCCAAAGATGCCCTAAATAAGGCTTTGGTTTGTCGACTTTTGCACATGTGAGAGGCTAGGGACAAATATGGGAGAACACGAAGACAAGCTGTAATACGCACAGGGCACATCCTGCTGTTGGGGAGAAACATACGAAAAACCTAAGCGAAATATGATCTCCCTCTAGCGTTACTCCTCTGAACAGATCTTATTTCCACACGCTGCTTTCCCCAGAAAACCGTCCTTAAGCTGGGAATAGGTGTATAGCGCACTCTAGCGCATTTCGAAGCAGGAGAAAACAAGGAAAGTTAACCAGTGAGAACATTTTTCTTTCTTTTAAAAGGAACCTCCCGTCAAATGCGATCCTGTTCGTTGGGCATTCTTAGCGCACGACGTGTCCTGAATGCGAGGGAGACCATAAATCGGTCCTACGCAGAATGATCGCGACACTTCACAACTCTGTGTTCCTAGATTATATGGGACCGTTGGCAGATCTCTCGTTCAGATAGGTGAGGAAACTTCTTTGGGTGGGCTTCCTTCAGCCGATGATGGCCGCAATCTCCTTGTGACCCACAAGCCGAGAAAATGCAGTAAGGTTGCGTTCATATTTTGCGGCAGCGTCCACCAGCGTCTACCAGCGTCCACTAGCGTTCCGAGCGTCCGGCAGCGTCAGGAGGAAAGTATAGATATCGGTCTAGCGTCTGCCAGCGTATAGCAGTCTGCTGCTGGTGGAGGCTCTCTGCGACCCTTCTATCGCGCCGTATTCTACACTCCTGAACGCTGCTAAACGCTGGTGGGCGCTGGCAGACGTTGGTATACGCTGTTGTGGGCGTCGGAAAACGTTGGTATACGCTGGTGGACGCTAGCTGACGCAGATCGATATCCATACTTCCCTCGCCGCTGACGCTGCCATGCTCGGAACGCTAGTGGGCGCTGGTAGGACGCTGCCGTAAAGTACGAAGGCAGACTACTTCTGAGGTGTTGAATAGACCACTTGAAGAGGGTAGAGGGTCTGCTACCTGTCCAGGAGCTGTGCCACATCATCGGAATAAATAGTAGTGTAAGGCGACGAGCTGGAGAGGGATGGCAAGAGGCATACGTCATTTGAACAAAGCGTCTCACAAGTTTTTGACTGCAGACGTTCATCCGTCAGTCATCAATCATCCGTCGTTTTACATTGGAGTATGACCTTGAGTAAACGGTGATAGTAATCAATCAGCATCGAAAGGCGCTAAGTTTATCCTCTCAGGATCAGACATCAAAGCCCTAATATCGAAAACGCTTCTCGTAATCGAGAATACACCACGCATCCAGCCTCGTCAAAAATGATCAGGATGTTTTTGTATAGATAAGGCTTAGTTTGTAAGTTTGTTCCGCCATTCCACGACTAAGAAAACCATTAGCCGACACCGGGGTTGAACCGCGGACGGAAACGTCCGCACGTTAGCACGGTTACCAAAATAAGCCTCTTCATACAGGAAACATCCTGAACGATTTTTTCCCGGAGTGTGCGTACCCCCCCCCCAAACGCCTAGGGCAGCAGAATTTTGGCGGCAGACAAGAAGGAAGTCCTCGAGATTTTCGCGGCAAAAAAAAAACTGGAAAAAGTGGTTGTATTTGGGGAACATCTGCGAAAGTGGGTAGCGTGGGGTGTGAAAGAGTGACGGGGGAGATTTCGCCATCAAAGAAGCCTGTGGAGAGTCCTACGGACGTCGCGCCAAAATCCCAGCCTAATTGCTGCCTTGAAGCTAATGTGCCCTGAAAACAAAGTTTGTTTTATAGAATCGTTCTGTCTTCATTTCACATTTATTGCACCTTTCTCATTTTCAAAAGAAGGCTGTGGAGCAGCTGATTCTGCGCGTTTTTTCAGCAGATTCCTTAAATTTCAGGTGATTTGCTGCTCGATCCCGTCACTGTCAATCAAGTCGTCAATCTTGGAAATCATGCTGAGAGTGAGTACTGTATATTTTTGCACTATTCTTGCATAGTCCAATTAACATATCCACTTTTTAAGATATTTCCCAGTGATAGATGTCATTTCGAGAAACTTCTATTGTTTGACGAACATTTAATGGTTTCGCTGCTGAAAATTCTGTCACAACGCGTTTCACAACGACCTTTGCCCCAATCTGTCACTGCCCATTTTGCGATAGTTCAACTGGTACTTTAACAGTCATGATGACTCAAGAATGCACGTCAAAAAAAACCAAAGGGCTGCCTGCTTACAGTAGGATGAGTTGGAAGTAACCCTGAGTTCTTTTGGTGGGGCTCCTTATTTATCTTCCATTAGTTCCCAAATCCCAGAGAATGCACGACCTTACAAGTGAGCAGGGCTGCTCATCTGTGTCAGGATTCGGAATACTAGAGGGGTCGGCACTATTCACTCTTTACTGCCCCAATCTTCCGAAAACAGGCCAGTTTTTGACCGACTTTTTTCTGCCTTGGCAGAATTGGCTGAAAATTTGTTTCCTGGGGTAGTTTGACCTCCTGAACATGAATATCACATCCGCTAGGCACGAAACCTCCTGGCGCCCGCGCCACAGGCGCCGGCGCCAAAATACCTTTCACCAAATTCGCTGAAAACTTGTTCTCAGGGGTAGTCTGACCTCCTGAACACGAATATCACATCCGCTCGACCTGAAACCTCCTGCCGCCCGCGCTACAGGAGCTGGCGCCAAAATACCTAGATCACCGGCGCCTGTGGCGCGGGTGCCAGAAGGTTTCGATATTCGTACCCAGGAGGTCAAAATCTTGAGTCCCAAAATCTGTCCACGGAGAAAAAAAGTCGTCAGAAAAGTAGCCTGAGTTCCGGTGGCTGTGGGGCAGTAAAAGGGTAAATAGTGCCGAGGGGTCATATATGACCTTGAGGGGAGGTTTTCCCAAGCCGCGATGAAATTTCTGGAAAATTGTAGGGAATCGGGAAGATGTGGTACTTACCATAGTTGAGGAATGGTATCGCACATGAGCGAGAAGTTTTTGGCGTTGAGATTTGAGCGACAAATTTCCGGAGCTTGGCTCGTATTAATCCCATCATTTACCTATCCCGCTGCTGTACCCTAATCCGTGTACAGTTGTTGGTGAAAGAAAGAGATGGGCAAGGGGTGCACTGACACACATTCTGCTTTTTACAGGAAAATGCAGTGCAGAATGGTACACTATTGATATGGTCGCGTTCAGTCGGAACAGTTTCAAGAGGGGATTGAGCCCATTCGCGACATTTCACTGCTTATTGTCTTCTTCCTGAACCACCCATTAACCGGTTACTATTGAAGGAACAAGACAGCCGAGGCGGGCTGACTTCACCCCTTTTGACACCGCCCCGACTGATTGCGACGATATCAGCTACACAGCGCGAAGCACACAACGGACCATAGAAAATATAAAAAAAAAATACTACTACAGCGCGGAATTTATCTTTGCTTGAAAAAGTTGAAAGGGGTGAGTATGGTCGTACCGTTATCCTTCTTTGGAGGGAGCATTACTGATCATTTTCGTCGTCGCTCTGGGGTGCGACAGCCGAGTTCATGCAGTAGAGAGTTGGTATACTCTGCACTGGCAACCAAAGTACACACTGAGAAGAATTTGGAAGCAAGCTCGCAAAAAATGAAATAAGAAGTTTCTGTGAATGAATTCAGTGCTGAAAACTGCGTTCTCCTACAAATTTTGCGCTTTCCAGGTCCAGTCGAGAATGTACGGCGATTGGTGCTGTTACATCCAGAAGATGATCCTCTCATCTTCACCGAGATGATGACATTGGAAAATAATATTGGTGACGGAAAATCCTTGTGGAAACAGAGCGCACGGTTTGGTTACTTCCTTGCATTTTGATTACCACGTCTAAAGTTAGAAGCGAGCCAGAATGGGCTAAACCCACTAATACAACCTGAGGCCACGTGATGTAAGCGATGTCAGAGGAAAAGCAAAAAAGACTTATTTTTCCGTTCACTTACTTGTGCATCTGTGATTTGCCAAACAC